ACACACACACACACACACACACACACACACACACACACACACACGTCACAACACAATAGTTGTATGAATGCTTTTTCAGCATTTACGCTATAGTTTTACTATTTTTTTTCACGTACTTTCTACTATTTTAACTGCAATACTTTACAAAATATTTAATTTATTTACTAACCTTTCCACTAAACTCTTTTCAATTCCTTGAAAAGCATTGTATAAAATCTGCTTCAGGATACTTCCTCACTTTTTGCCTTTTGTTGCTACTTCAAGGTACTAGCTAGCTTTTTGCTTTTTTTTTTTTAGCTTTTAGCTAGCCTTTTGCAACCTACATTTAGACATTTAGACACAAAATGGAATTTGTCTATTTGATGTAAAGTTTCTTTACAGGTACACAGAATTTGTCTGAATACAGTATTTTATGTAAAGTACTTAACCTTGTAAATGCTTAAATAAAGTCTAAAAATAATCAATTCTTAAAACAAGTGTAACATTTTAATTAAACTGATTTATTGCCTTAAGATAAAATAGTTAAAAACAAACATCACATGACAAAAATGGCATAATTATGTAAATTGGATGGTAGAAACAAGTTTTAAAATCAATGTCTCTGTTACAAGACATTTTCTTTTTGCTTTAGGGGGCCGAGTTGAACAAATATAGTTTTTAAAATGATTTTGAAGCTGCTTGATTGAAAGAAATCAACAAACTGTAAAAGTTTGCAGCCTCCTTTGTTGTATTTTTCATGTTTAAGCAAATATTTTTGTTGGGAAGCAGTTTATTTTAACCCCTCTTAAAAACTTAAAATCTGAAAGCCTTTTGTTCAGATAATAGTATAAAATCTGTGTATACTGTTTAATATTTATAGTGCCTTCACTTAATCTTCCAGAGCCTTATCTACTTACTAATATCAAACTGACTCCCTCTCTTTATTTTGTGGATAAAATATCTAATATTCCCAAAAAACAATAAAAACTTTGATTTTTTTAAATATTTTATTTCATCTAAATCAGCTCAAATCTAAAGAAATCATAATTTCTAAATCTTCTTAGTTTTCATTTACATCCCAGAGTTTTATCTCTGAGGCTCAGACATTTTCCAGTGATTTTTTTTCCCACTAAATCCTGTTTTTATGTCCAGAGAAGGGCATCTGTATATCGACGGTGTCCCTGTGGATCATGCTGGTGTACACAGAGGCTTCGCTTCGACTCAAAGACCTCAGTACCTCCCATCCCAACCTCTCTCATCTTTTCGCTGCACACTGGTAAGCAAATTTGATCTGCCTCAAATGTTGCATAATGCCTGCTTTAAAGAGTGTTACAATAAATTATCAACACACATTGTGTTTTTTTACTGAGCATTTCTGCTGAGCGTCAGTTAAAGTGTAGTTAAAAATCATTTTTTCACCTTTTGGTTGATGATTAGTGCAGACTGAGGTGCTACATGAGGTGTGAAAAACACAAAGTAAATGTGAGAGGAGTAATTAATGTCAGATTCTGCAGCGCACATTGTTTTTGTTTTTTGTATTTTTTCCTCCTACATTTTGCTTTTCAGCATTGGATATCCCGTCGTCTATCTGGGGTTCGATGCCACCTGCTACTTCACCAACGTTTTTAAGCTGCGGGTTCAGAAAGCCGTTCAGAGCGACAACGACTTTCACATGCACCTCCTTCAGCACTCGCTCCCGCCAGGTCTGCAGGTTTACTCCAAGACCAGCACAGATGGCAGCAGCAGTAAGTCTGCACCTGCAGAATCCACTCACTGACACTTAAAAATAACAGTTAACTGAGTAAACATGACATTTCTGTAATAATCAGTTCGATTCAATACTTTTATTCTTGTTCATTCAATAAATAAGCTGCTTTATGTGACAGAGAAACGGCCAGACTCAGACATTTTACTGTAATTTTCATATAAAAGAAGAGCAAAGAGCAGCTCTGATTGTCTGAAAGAGTAATTTGATTTACCAGCTGGCTTCAATCATTTCTTTTTATCGGTTTAAACTCTCGTGTTACAGAACAATAAGAGGGATTCAGTGACCTGCCAACTTCCCAAAAGGTTCTGAGTAATAAATCTTCCAGTGTTGGATTTCTTATCATTCATCATTACTTTTCCAGATAGTCTCCACAGCCGTAGGTGTCAAATATTTTCACACGTTGTGGATTTTATGTGCAAAAAACAGTTTAAACTCTATATATTAAGGCTTAAAACGTCCTCTAACTCAGTGATTCTCAAACTATTTCTGCTGGTACTCCCACGTTTCCAATCAGACAAACAGATATTTGAATTTCAACCTTTGTTGCGCTTTACTTGAATCGTTTGCAGCGACTGTAACATTAAATTTCTACTTTTGTTCCAACTTTCCTCTGAGTCTGCAGCATTGATTGGTTTGCTTATTCTTCCTCCAGGCTCTAAATGGAAGTTCAAGCCTGAGTCGAGTCAGTACCAGTGTCAGAACGGCGCTGTGGTGTCCCACGATGACGCTCACAGTGTAGACTGCCTTCAGATTCGCAGCGAGGAGCGTGGAGCGGAGGTGAGGTCGGTGGAATCGAACCGACGGCCGGCGACGTTATTCAAACCCGCTGCTGCTGCTGCTGCTGAGTCCAAAGACCAGCTTCACGGCGGGGAAGGGTCAGAAACCTCTGCAACCCCAGAAAGTCTACCTCACGAGGAGCAGGGAAGCAAAGCCCCACGGGCGGCCAAAAACTCCTCGCCTAAAGCCCGCAGAGGCAGCACGAACACTCCTTCACCTCCTGCAGGAAGGACGGAGAAGAAACCGAGGAGCTCGAAAACAATCAGCCCCAACAGGAGCACAGAGGAGAAGAGCACCGCGGTGGCTCAGAACTATCACGCCGAGCAAATGAACAAGTAAGGAGCCGGTAATTTCAGCTCAGCTGGGTGGTTAAAGTGATGTTAAAAGGTTGTTTGCTGACGTCAGGCTTGAGGCGGAGCTGCGGAGGCTGAGGGGCGAGCTGCAGGTGAGCAGGCAGAGCGAGCAGGAGCTGCGGAGTCACGTCTGTAACTTGACGAACAGCGAGAGGAGCCTGAGGCCAGAGGTGTCCCTCCTCAGACAGTCCAACATGCTGCTCCAGAGCAAGTGAGCGCTTCACGAAACCCCCTGAGAGAGCGAACTGTGTCTCTGTGGGCGGGTTGTTTTATTCATTACATCATCGTTAAACCTCAAACTGTCACAACTGAAAACAGACAGAACCTTTAAACCTGATGAGCCCCAAAACAAAGTGTCAGGATTCAGTTTTATTCTGTAATGTTCTCAAGTAAAGGAAATAATATTTTGTCCACTTTAATGCTCTGTGCCCAGGATTCTGTGCTTGACTAAAACCAAGCAGCGCGACAAGCAGACCAGCATGATGCTGGAGAAAAAGAGCAGAGCCGAGGCAGAAGCCAGACTCGCTGCTGAGAAGCAGTTGGCCGAGCTTCAGGCTCAGAAACTGGAGGAGGCGGCGAGCGCTGCACGGAGTCTGACAAACAGGTAAATCACTCCTGCCAAGCCTCTCCTTTTCCAGAAAGCCACTCGGTGCTTTCAAACGACGCTTTTATCTACATTTGTGTCCCGCTGAGTCTGATTACCTGCTGTGGAGAGAGAACAGCCAAACAAACGATAGATTAGTCTGAGTTATGATTACTCACCTTCTTGTTGGGAGTTGGATGAGAAGATCAACAACACTGCAGCTCTTTAACCCACAGGTCTGAAAGTGGTTTTGATCGCCTCATCTGACTGACAGCAATGAAACAGATGCACTGATGAGCCACAACAATATGACCTCTCACCGGTAATGTCATGACACAATGTTCTGAACAGAACTAAATTCCACACTGGATGCTAGTAATAGGCATTTTAAGTAAAAACATGTTTCCAATTCGTCAGTTTCTCTTAGAATATTTAACTTGAATTAAGGTTTACTCACCCACATTCTGCAGCCAAATAAAACAAAGGCTTCAGGTGCAGAGACATGTGCTGCTGCTTATTCTGCTAGCTTTTACTTCATATTCCTTCATTTTCACAGGTGCAATGGACCTGATTCAATGTCAAACAAAACAAGTTGCTCTTAGATGCTCCTCCAGGGTTATTATAGTTAATTAAAACTGACTAAATAACGAAAACTGAAATTGAAAAAACATTTTAGTTAATCAAAATAAACAAAAACTTTAATAAAATGAAAAGAAGATGACAGCTAACTAAAACTGTAAAATCTTTTTACAAAACTAACTAAAACTAACTGAAACTATAGATTGAATATCCATAGTTTTAGTGTTTGTCAATTTATTTTGAGCTGTGTGGACTGATTAAACKAATCATTATTTATTTATCTATTTATTTCAAACTGAGTTGTTTCACATTAGCTGTGGGCAACAACATTTGTTTACAGTCTGCTGCTCAGCGTCGTCTGCCAAATGACGACAACAAAAGTTGCGAGAAAGCACAACGTCCACTTTGGGATTTTTTTAAATGACTGCGAGAAAAATAAAAGCAGGTGTCTTGTAGTGGAAACAGGTGATAAAACAGGTGAAATACTTCTCAAGGGAAAAACTGCATGAATCAAACTCACACAAGATGCTAACTATGACTATCTTGACACGCTAGCTTCTCTCAGTATCTCACGTGAAAAACAAGCAACAAAAGAAGCACTGGGTTGGGGACAACTATTGTCATCGTCCTAAAATAATCGCACCGCTCCTTTTTTGGGCAAAATTGAGTTACGCAATTATTTTAGAAACGTGTCGCTATAATGGACACTTTCACTGGTGACCAAAAAGTTGTTGGTTAGTTAACTCGTAGTAATACCTCAAAGCTCAGGATGCATTAGCAAATATGTTTAGTCAAACTATAAAAAAAACTAATAAAAACTAAACTCAACTAAAACTAAGCATTAAAAATGCATTAATAACTAATAAAAACTAGCAAATCCACTGTAAAAACTAATTAAAACTAACTGAATTAATAAAAAAAAGTCACAACGAAATAAAACTAAACTATAATAAAAAATCCAAAACTATTATAACCTTGCTCAGATCAGGGCGTGGACGAAGAGTTATAATAAGGAGTTTAAACCAAAGCATTGCAGTTCCACTTTATATAGACCTAAAATGAAGGATTTAAATGTGAAAAGGAAGGATTTAAAAGCATGGCATCTCCTTTAAGTGAGTGGTCATATTGTTTAGGCTGATTGGTATATATAAAAGCAGTTCCTGTTTGAATTTGTGTCTTTAAAGCAACATAAAACTCTGTAACCTGATTGTTTTCACCGCTAACGACCCCGACTGAAACCCGGTGTTCTCTTCGTCTCCTACACCAGGCAGGAACACTGTGAAACCCAAATGTTAAGGAAAAGAGTTAAAGATCTAGAAACAGAGTACAAACAACTACAGCTGGAGTATCAAGTGAAAGAGACTCGTGTGGTAGATCTAGAGAGAGAGATCGAGGTATCTTTTCACTCTATTTGGGAATGAACTTGTGAGTTTTTTTAAGTGTTTGTGAGTCTCAAGTGGTGGTTTGCTGTCTTGATCTAGTCTTTTTTTAATTTATTGTCTTGAAGTTTGTTAGCAAACCGAATGGGTTTTCATTGGGAACATTTAGTGTTTGTGTTTATTTTCGCCTGCAGTCAACATCTTGGTTTTGTCACCTCATCAGTATGCAGTATTATTGAATGGTTGTTGTTTTTTGTGTTTGCGTTGTTGTATTTTGTGGCATTTGATCTCATTTTAGTGCCATTTTTCTCCATGATGCATGCCGAGACAAAAGCTGTAACTGTCATGAAAATGTTGCTCTGAGGTTACTTGGTTTAAAAGAAAAAATCAACTTTTAGGATTTCTCGGTAAAAATGTTCATGTTTGGTGAATTGGGCGGCCAAACATGTTTGAAAACTGTTGTGTTTTGGTTCCCTGAGAAAATCCATCAAGGTTTGTGTTCCTGAAAGCAAAAGAAATAAAACCCGCTCAGGGAAACCAAAGCACCAGCCCCCTCGTGCAGGTGTTCTTATTGCGGATATTTGTTGTTGGACTCAGGCTTTGGGGAAGTACCGCTGCGTGGAGAAAGAGACGGACGTGTTGCTCTGCACGTTGTCGGCCATGCAGGAGAAGGCTCAACATCTGGAGTACAACCTGAGCGCCGAGACCCGGATCAAGCTGGACCTGTTCTCTGCGCTCGGAGACGCCCGCAGGCAGCTGGAAATCGCTCAAGGTGTGCCCTCTACTCCTCTGAAATGATCGTCTTTTTCATTTTTTATTTTATCTTTTTTAATCCTTCAATTACTTTTAAATTTTTTACTTTGCTTGAATGTTTTTATCCCTGTATATACATTTATTTTGAAGAAATGGGCCATGGGATTAAGGACAAGTTTTTAAACCAGAAAAGTATTTTTTAAATCCCGAAAATAAAGTTGTAATATTATGAGAACTCCTACACGGCAAAGCAGTCTTACTGCTGTGTTAAAATGAGGAATTTTAAGCATTGTCTGGAGTTATACTTTGGTTTTACAAATAAAGACTTAAATACTTAATCCTTTAACACATCCACTGCTGTTTGGTTGAACTGGTTACGTCAGATCTTGATATCGCAGCTTTTTTCCTCATTAAAATGGCTCTCTCTTGTAATATTACGACTTTATTCTGCTAAAATTATGAATTTATTCTGGTATTATTATTATCATTATTATTATTATTATTATTATTATTATTATTATATGTGTGATGAGGTTTTGATGGAAATTTGGATCCAACAGCACCACCATGTGGTCATAAAGCACATTACACATGACTTCACTCCTTACAGGATGATTTATTTAAAAAGACTAGTCGTTTAAACCAGTTTTACCAAAACATTTTAAACAAAGGTGACATCTTTACGCAAAATGACAGTTTCTAACAAACACAATGAAGTTTAAATATACAAAAGTTTGCATTACTAACACTATATATAACCATGAGACAAGTATTTATATTTTAAATTTATTGTCCATTAGATAAAATACTAAATTTATTAAATAGCTAAAAAAGTCACATCCAAAACAACAGATAGAATCTTGTGGTCAGAAAATCTTTTAGATGAATATTTAAATGGATTTAAAGAGACAGCCTCAAAATGAGTTGATTCTGATGCACCTCAGAAAAGGGGTGGGGCTTGTGGAGTTCCAGACCAAAACATTGCAGTTCCACTTTATATAGACTCCAGCTGAAGGATTTAAATGTAAAAAAATACAGGATTTGAAATCATGACATGTCTCCTTTAAACTAAAATTTGAAATGTTTTGATCTTATTCCCCTCAGCAGCACCTGCTGTTTTAGGAAAATTTCCTCCAAATCCAAAACTTTCTATTTCTTTTTATTACCCAGCTGTCATTGCACCTGTCTGACAGAGCCGGTGTTAGTGTCATTACTCATGTAGTCATCATGCAGCAGCAGATGACTCACTGCAGTTAGTACAATGACAATAAAGGCATCATCAATCAATCAATTAATCAATAATGTCATGCTCTTCAGTCATAAACAATACTTTACATGTTTTGAGCAAACTTTAAGCTGCAGCTCCACCTCATGCATACACTTGCCTGTCTGACAGATAAAGTGAAGAAGCAGGACAGAGAAATCCGTCAGATGAAGCAGAAGATCGCAGAAGTGATGGCGGTCAGCCCCGGCGTGTCCTACGTGGCTCCGCGGCCGCAGGTACCTCAGTATCTCACCAAGTTTCTCAACTCTGAGCGCTACATGCTGAATCCACGGGCGCTGATGTACCAGTGTCTGAAGAAATAAAAAAAATAAAAAAAGATCAGAAAGGGACAATGCCTTCTTCTTCAGGACCAGAGGAGTTATTTTCTACCAGAGCTAAAGACGCCTGCTTCCAGACACAAGCCTCCACGAGTCCAATGCCTTTCTCTGCACGGTTGGTGCTAACCTGATACCATTCTTTACGTCTCCTGTTTCTCCCATATCAAAACTCCAAGAGTTTCACTCGAAAAACGAGGTATTTAATATGCAGAGCTGCTGAAGGCGGCGTTTTATCCATAACCATGAAATATGACGTCAGCAGAGAGAAGCACATCAACACACTGATTCAGACTCTGTTTGATCTGATGACACATCAGGAAGTATTGTTGAAATATCCTCATTATTATCAAAAGATCTTTTATTTGATTAAAACCAAAAGGAGTCCTGCTGCAGCTGTTAAATATCTAAAATATTAAAACGTTCATAAAAACTTAGTTATTTATCAGGTTTCTTTGTAAGAAGTAAAAAATGGATTTCAGTGGTGGGCGTGATTCCACTAATCAGCTAATAGCTGATTAGCTTTTCACTAACTTTTAAAATTGTTAGCGGACCAGTTAGCTTCCGCTAAATTAGGTTTTGCCAACTTTAAGTCTGCTAACAGCTAATTAACTAGCTAACATCAACAGGTTTGTGTCGGTCCCATCAGTCTTCAGCTGGACTTGATGCAGACTGAGTGACATCGTCTTAGCAGTTAGCTATTAGTGGTAGCTTCTGCTAATGTTTTACTTTAGAAGTTAGCGTTAGTGAAGCCATATTTTTAGTTAGCAGATTATGACTTAGTAAAGCTAACTTTTTGGTTAGTTGTGCCCACCACTGGTGGATTTATACTCAATCAGAAACATCTGATTTTGCTGACATGGTTCTTTTTCTGCACTCTAAAAAGAGAGTGGAGCGAAAACTCCCTCCCACTGCAGCTCACGTCACGCGAAAACTGAAAAGACAGTGACGGAATGGTTCGCAAAGTGGATGTTTATTGTTGGAGGAAGGTTTGGTATTTTTGCTAACAGAGGAAAATATCACTAAATGTCTCCGTGCTGCCCGGCCGAGGCGTACTGTGTTGTCCAATCTCCTTTCACAAGTTCTTTGACTTCCAGTCTTATTTGATTATCTTTGTAAAGACAGCTGCTGATCCTCAGCAGATCAGTTGAAGCAAAATGAGAGCAGTGTAACTACGCCCTGAAAAGTCTTATATACACACAAACATCTTGCAAAACAAAAGTTTTGGCAGACTGAACAAAAATACACAATTTCTATCACAAAACAATGTCAGTGAGAAAAATGTTCAGCACTTCTCATTGAGAATAAATCCACTTTAAAGAATGTAATCATTTATTTTGCTGCAGTATTGACTAAAAAGCATAAAATAATAGTGTTCATCTCTGCTAAATCCCTAATACAGCATTTTCAAATTGGACATTTAGCTTTGTTGTGATTAAAAAAAAGTCTATTATCTTCTAACTAAATATCCTGCTGAGCTGTGACATCATAATCAAAGTCAGAACAGTGAAACTGGAGCAGCTAAATGGAATTTAGCCATAATTTCTCCTCTTGTTTACAACAATAAACACTCTAATGTAAACATACTTGCTCTCATGTATTTGAGATTCGAAGCCGTAACAGATTTTGGTGTTTTTGTCTGAAATTTTATAGTGAAATGAATCAAATATCTCAATTGTAAAGAGATCAAAGAGGAACAATATGAGTGGAAAATAAGTGGAATTAGTGATGGACTTTCTATGAATTTTAAATCTAAAATGTCTGTATTTAATAACATTCAAAATAGGTCTGAGCGATATTCTTTTTATGTACCTTTTGGGAGCATAAATGTGATTAATAAACTTGCTTTTAAAAAAAAATAAATTAAAAAAGAAGACAAATGTCTTGATGATTGTAAATAGAGAAATATTTGGAATGTGCTGAAATTCAGACAGAAGTTGTGATTTTAACGAGTTAACTTGATTTTTTATTCTTGAAAAAAGCTCTGTGTTTTGGAATGAGACCCTTCAGAGTCGGATGACATTCTTTGGATCAGCTGACGCTCTGTCGTCATTGCAACCCAGTGGGCAGGGCGACGCGTGGAAGCTGTTAAAACGAGGCGGTTTGTGACGGGGAAACGTAAAACCAAACGAGGCTCACGGATTTAATTACTGTGCCTACATAATACTTTCAAACTGGAAGGTAAAACACTAATTAAATGTGACAGTGATGTGTTTGAAGTGCTATGTACTGTTTTTGTAGTTTTTTTACTCACAAATGTACAGAATTTAAAATATTCATCACGCCACTGAAAAACTGGAAGGGGGTCGTGGCCGTTTTGGTAGCTTTTTATTTAGAGCGTGTTTTCTTAGCGTGTTTTATATGAAAGCTATTTTTTAGTCTCACCGTACTTCTCTTTTACTGCTGTCATTTTTACAGGAGTTTTTTTTTTTTTGTCGGCATGAATTGTGTTTTCTTCAACCACACCTTGTGAATTTCTTGTATACATGATTATACTCGTACAAGGGCTACCATTTGTAAAACGTTTTTGAACAGTGACACTCTGAAGCGAGATCACACTTGAGACACACCAGGATGGGGTTTTGTATGAATTATTTGAATAAACTATTGAATTTTGTCTGATCTGTGCATCTGTGGGAAACTTTATTCTGCCTTAAAGTCTCGTATGATCCCTTTTAATAATCAGATTCATAACCATTGAAGTGTAAGACACCAAACAAACAAAGGCATCGGGGTGCTGCGAGACATTTTTATTCTTTTCTTCAAGAAGTGTAAAAAGGTCGAAGCATTGTGGAAACAGAGCAGACAGTGAAGATGGCTGCAAGCAGGCCAGGCAGTCCTGCACTGGTATCTACAGACCCTGCTGGGAGGTAGTTACAGCATAGAAAACATGAGACCAGATGAGCCACGACGTACTTCCTGTTGAGACCGCGGGACATTTCCAACAACTGAGCACCGTCGCACTGACTGTCTCTGCTAACTACTGGACTGGTGTGATAGATTCAATTAAATCCTTAAAAAAAAAAACAGGAAAAACACAACTGAACCAACTCTACAAGCCAGTGTATTCTGTGCACAGGTTTCCACGTAGACACGAACAGAAAGCCAAAAATCCACCCGACCAACATCTTTAACGACACTAAATGAAACGACTCATCGAACTGACGTGTTTTAATATTGACCCACAGGTTTATTTTTAAACAAAGTCACAGCAGGAGTTAAAGAACAAGCAACTACAATCATCCAATCAACCAGCAGCCTTCTATAGAGCGCCAAATGTAAAATGAAAAGTTAAAAAATGTCACTAACATTTTTCATCATTTAGCTCACTGTTCTTACATTTAGCTCATGTTTAATAAACGCTAAAAATATTTAAATATTAAATCTAAAAGTTAAACCTTAAACGTTGAAGTTCACATTTAGGTATTTTGAAATGGAATCGAGCAGAGTATGACATCATCATCCTGAGACAATAGCAACTGCTAGCGCTCCAACGCAGCTTAAGCTTCCCTATAAGACATAACTTTCAGTTCTGGCTGGTGTCTGTGCAGCACTTCAAACTGCTGGACTACAGGGATCACCCGGATTGTTTTTTATGAACACATTGTGAATTTAGCGGCCATTGTTGTTTGTTGCAGGATGATGACATCCTGGTAAACAGACGCTTACCTCTACTAACGCTGCTAAAAAAAATTAAAATCTAAATTCAAAATGTGTTCATAAAAACATATGGGTGGTCCCTGTGGTCCAGCAGTTCAAGTGCAGCTCAAACACCAGCCAGAACCGCAAGTTTCATGTCTTGTAGGTAAGCTTTAGCTGCGTTGGAGCTAATGGTTGCTAATGTCTCAGGATGATGACATAACATGAGCCGAGCACCAACGGGAAAGTTTGTGTTCCATTCCAAAATACCTAAATGTTAACTTCAACATTTAAGGTTTAATTTTAAATTTAGATTTAAACATTTAGCTTTAGGATTTAATATCTAAATATATTTGTTAACATTTAAATTTAACATTTAGTAAAAATTAGCTAAATGTAAGAACAGTGAGCTAAATAATGAATAATATGTTTGTGATATTTTTTAACATTTCATTTTACACATGGCGCCCCACAGCCTCTAGCTTCAGAAAAAAAAGCTGCACAAATAAATAATTATTTTTAGCTCATGGGATTGTGTCGCTGTTGAATACTTTTAAGTTTGTCGTGTTGTTAAAGAAATAAACTCACGCCACATCCATTTCCTCGCTAGTTTAATGCTTTTCAAGAAGGCTTCTGAAAACCGGAGACCTCACGCCGCCGTAACGCAGCACACTTCATTACGTCGGGACGACAAACAGACCAAACTATCAAACAAGTAAAAATGTTTTAAAATACAATTTTAACACTGTCTTAAAGAAAACACTTGAGTTTTCTGCTTTTTGCTCACTTCTTCACCACTTAAGAAGCGACAGAAATAAGAAAATAGGCAAAACTTGTGTGTTTTTCATTAAGTTTCTACTAGAATTCCCTCTTAAAAGAAAAGCAGATGGCTGTGTTGGATGAGCGGCGGAGCAGCAACCACTTAGTGGCAACTTTTCCCACCAGAAGATACGAGAAGAAGCGACAGGATCTGCGATCAGACCGAGGCTTCCTCCTCTGTCCTCGTGAAGCTTTCCTGCGACTCAAGACGTGGAGCAAAAGAAAAAACAAACTAGTCCCGCTGTGGAGGATGAGGAGTGCTGAGAGAGTCCTCCACTACGAGGAGACCGTCACCGGGTTCAGAGATCCGTTCCGGCTGTAGAACTTGGAGAAGGCCTCTTCGAGAACGGATGCGAGTCGCGGCTGATCGCCCTGAAACAGAGAGACAGACATGGAGAAAGACCCTCAGCTGTGGGTTTCAGAGGTTTTCTTGGTGGCGTTTTGTCTCGGGTGGGGGGATGACCTCACCTCGCTGATGAATCCCAGCTGAACGAGCTCCACAGCCAGAGCCTGAACGTTCTCATCTGAAACAACAAGTTTTGTTTGATCAAAACTCCTAACATTAAAAACATACAGGAGGATTCTGACCATATGGTCCAGTCCTCCTGGTGGGTCACCATCCTGCCTGTTTTAGAGGTTTCTCTGTGTTGAAGCAGAGAAACAATGAAAACATGCAGGACAGTCCCTCCAGGACCAGGATTAGACCCCAGATTCAGACTGTTTACCTAGAAGAGAAATATTTATGTTCAAAAATGTAATTATGCAGATTAAAAAACTTAACACTAAGTAAAACCAACTAAATGAAAAAATACACAATTTCTAAAAGATAATTACGGCCAAAACCTTAAAAACTGAGGTTTGAACCTGAAGTAAACACAACTACATTTATCTTTTAATTACAAAAACATCAAGCATGACTGATTATCAGAGCAATTTTTAAACAAGTGAAGTCTGAACCTGTTTTTATTTTTTCCAGACTTATCCAGACTGTGAACCTCAGAAACCAGATGTGTTTTTTGTTTTAAACTGTAGGAACTCTTGAGAAGTTGAGCTCTATGAAGGACAGAGAAGGGAATGATGAAATCCTTACTTGGTAACAAATCACAGCTCAGGTGTCTGTTCAGTTTATCCTCCAGCTTCAACAACAACGTCAGCTGGAAGAAAGGAAAAAAACAGGCAAACTCCTCAAACAGTAGAAACGAAGCGAGTCTTGTTGAGACTGGATTTGAAAAAAAAAAAAAACTCAAAGATGATCTGCTCAGCAGGGTTGGGGTTACTGGACTGAGACTCACGTGGTGTTTTGTTCCCTCGTCAACGGGCTCGATGTTACACTGCATCTGAAGGACCTGGAAGAACAAGACCACAACTCTGTCTCAAACAGAAACATTTAGAGAACATTTTTCTGTTTAACTGTTTATAAACAGACAAGCTGCACGCCGACGGACTCTTTCAGATCTTACCTTCCTGGTCTCGAGCTCCGCAGGTTCAGGTGTTGGCGTTTTGACGGAGGGGGGGACGACGGGCAGCTTCACAGCTTCCTGCTGAGGCTGCTGTGGACGGGAAATCCCAAAAGCAGTCAGAGGATAGATCCCGTTCCTGACCAAACAAGACAAAAACATTTTCAAATGCGACAGCAAAAAATAAATAAAATAAAAGGTTTTACTGCAAAACTGAGAAGATCTGCTGCAAATGTTTGTTTTACCTCACGTCTTCCAGAAACTTGTCCAGCTCGAGGGCAGGAAACTGAGAGAGCCTGATGGAAAATTAAAAAAAATAATAATAAAAATCCTGCATCCAACAGCGTTTGTTATATTTGCTCCTCCAGCTTTTAAACTTACTTCATCTGAACTCCCTCCTTGGCCTCAACGATCACCAGGTTTGGGTCCATGTTCTTCGTCATCTCCTCTAAAGCATTTTCTGGAATCATGTCTAGGATGAATAAAGAATATACCAATAACTGGGACATGATTGCTAAAACGGATAGTTTCAGTCTAAAAACACTGCAGTTAATACGCTTTAAAGCCACTTATGTGAAGAGAACAGAGAAAATATTGATTTTTTTGTGCTTTGATAATTAAGATTTGTATAAAACCGAGTCGATCCATCTGCTGATCCCAGTTTCTCTACCTGCTGCTGTAGTTCTGGGAAATCCCTTCATTTAATGTTTAGCATCGTTGTGAAGCTTCAGGATCTCCTTTTTAAACCTACGTCTGGAATTCTGGTCAATGTGGCCAAAGATTTGGTGAGTTTTTGTGCTTTGAAAACATGTTGAGTTATTTTCTTTTTTTTTTTAATTTGGGAAACGTTAAACGTTTTATCTTAGTCTTATTTTATACATCAAGTAAACTCTGACACCTGTCAAATACAAATAATCTGTGGCATCAAATAACAGTATGTTTTTCTGTGTGTTTTACTGGGAAACACGTTTAATTACTGCAGATTTTTACAGCTGAGTCAATAAAACAGGAAGTGCAGTTTGAGCTGTTTAAGACAACAAACGGTTCTGAAGAAGTTTGGAACCTGAGGGAGAAAATGTGCCTCTTTAAACTGAGGACACTAAATGACAATATTTAAGCAGATAAAACTGTGTGTGTGTGTGTGTGTGTGTGTGTGTGTGTGTGTGTGTGTG